AATACGCATTGACGCATTGTGTCAATCAATGCCCAATCATAGGTGTATATGTGTATTAAATAAGAGTTTAATTAAAAAAATCTTCAATAAGTGTTTTGCCGCAGTTGACGAGTCTTAAATTTTGATCGGTCCGAGTGCTTAATATTAGGGCACAGGTAATTGCCTATTTTAAACTCTAATGCGACAGTAAAATAAACGCAGACGACTTCACATGAAACAATGACATTCGACAATAACAGTAATATTATCATATCATAATACCTACTTTTATTATATTTTGATACTTCTTGCAGTGATCGGATTCGTACACCTACCATCGGATTGGCTCATTATATCGTAATAATATTCCMATAWCTCAAAGAGGATTGGCGACTCGGACGTTATTTCAATGCGCAATAGTGTAAAATACATTTAATATGAACGGACAGGTGCATGGTAAGTTAAGTACAACGAGTGAGTAATAATATGTAGGTAGGTRCCCATTATATGACGCGTGTTATATTAAATTACGTAATGTTCGTTTTAATTGAACTTTCCGAAACAATGCGCGCTTATCGCAGTATGATAATAATAAATTATTTTTAAACAAATATGGCAACAAAACTGGTAACGGTCCGATTTCTCATCCGCGATTTTCCTTGACTCGTCTCTATACGTCTATAGACAATACCTATACAATAAATGTCATTTTATTATTATTATTATATTATTATTGCAACCTAGCAGCCTTGGAGAGTACGGCCACCGGACACACCACTATCATAGGAAAATAATATTATGCTGCAGTGCGCGGACATTGAAGTTACGCGTCTATAATCGTTTAACGACAATATACCAACTCGGCTGCTAATCACACGCGTTTTCACTTCATATTTATGTCGCATACACCATGGTCGACGAATAATGGATTTACTGGTATAAGAATCATACACATAATAATACAGTGATATCAATATAATATAACAATAATATACTCCTATTAACGAGATCTTTGCAAGCGCAGAGAATTATTACGAGACAGGTAAACTGGATTAATTGCAATAAATAGTAGAAGTGTACGATGATACTGTCGCAACTGAGTTGCATATTCTATATAGGTATACCCGCTGAGGTATACGCTTAGAATATAATATTATAATATATTACATAAAAAATGGTTTTCGATCAAAAATGTTTTTTTAATAATTTAAACTACAAAATATATTTTTATATTATTTAGATATATTGAAAATAAATTCAAAAAAAAAAAATGTAATACAATGTACATAAATATTATCGTGATAAAATTACGTCTAAAGAGATGGCGTCATCAGACTCACCGTGAGTCCACTCTCTTATACAATCTAACGTTGTACAGGAGTTGAATATTAATACAGAAAACGTTCACGTGACTTACCTGAAACAAAAACAAAACAAACAACCATTAGATAAATATTATGTAAATGTATTATTATTATCACTGTTACAAAATAATTTCGGAAATAATTTGTGTCATCAAAATAATACATACGAGTATTAGGCAWATTACAATGAATAGATGTATTCATATTATACACATTTAGCGGCCGATAACGAATTATAACAAGTTTCGGTTTATAGTTAAATTAAAGAGACGGACATTGTGTTCAACGAAATACTTTAACAACCGTAACGAATGCTACACGATAATCGAAAATTGCACACCAATATGTAGTTAAATCGAGAAAATGTTAGATTAAATGGTGAGGAGGCAAAGTTTTCAAATTTCAAAACATCAAACTAAAACGGAAAACGAAATCCACTTTTACCTAAATATTTGTATATAAATCATGGGCACAAAATCTAATTAAATCTCGACCAATGGTTGATGAGATTGGAGAGTAGCTGCAGTTAGGTTGATTAGGCTCGGAGATCCTTAAGTCCTCTGATATAATATTATGTAGTCTGATGCATCGAGTTACTAATTTAATTATGAATAATGTTTACGAGATGGTTTTACTTTTCTACTTCACCAATACTATATGCGTACAGTGCCGTACACGATACACTCGATGTTAAAATATTACTACAAGCCATATAAAATGTTTTAAACAAAAATAAATGCAACGACAAATTTTATGGGTTTTTAATMGTTTTGACCCAAATGCAGTCGCCAATCGATATACCATAATATTATTATTGTTATATTCCATTATATAGCGACAACAACGATATCGTAGTGGGTGGGTCGGTACTTGTATAAAAAAAAATGTAGTTTGGTATTGTCATAGAGCAGTTGTTATGGAAAATCACATCTCACGACGGGAACGTAAATTCTATTTCAGCGCCCTAAGATCCATACAATTTATTACGCTATGACGATTCAATAATAATACGTAATTTCATTATATTATTATCTCGCCGTACTATAATATATTATAATAATAATATAATGTACGAGTTTCGTGTGTGTACATAATAGACAATAATGAAATACGATTTGTCCGCGTAACGCTTGTGTTTTATCGATGTATAAAATCCAAAGTCGTGAACGCGATGTATAATAATATGTAATATGTATATGTGTAATAATATTGTAATTTATAGTTGTAACATATCATACGAAGCCGAGCAAGTAGTTTCACCCCGGAGCGTCGTCGTCGTCGAGACATAATCAAAACGACTCCCATGCGCGATTGATGGCAGCCAACAAACTCAATATGATACACTATACGGACAATAAATATGTAAATATTCAACCGAGCGCATATCATATATATTATTAATACGTATAACATTATAAATAACGCTACCGCGGCGACTATACGGTTCGTATAATATTATTATTATATTATTATCGTATGACGCCGAACAGAGTTAATGACGAAGAACGAAACCGTCGATCGAAATCGGTTTATGAATAATAATACCAATAATATATTATACATAAATGATATCACAACTAAACAGCAGTCGTGTGTGGGTGGGTGTTATGTGTTTCATCCTTTCCACTTCACCGGTAAACCACCGATGTGGTATATGACAATAATAATATAATAATAATAATGATATTACATATTGTGCGTGTGTGTATGTGATATACATTATATAGACTTGTAGGAGAGTGATACTGATCCCGATCGGATTTGATTGCCACTAACCTTTTCAAGGTCCCCAGACGACGGGGTATTTTTTTTCTTTTTTTTTTACCGTACTTACATTGATTTACATATCACCACAACGGATTGTATACGAAGGTATATGTATAGTTTCTCGACGGACTTTTTTAAAATATATATATATATATAAATATATAATGTTATGGTCTTTTAACCTGTAATTTATAATATAATATGTAATGTAGTGTCGGAGAAGATATTTTTCAAACGACACGAGATCGTCGTAATTATTACTGTTGTTGGGAAACAGCCATCATATGCACCTATATTATATTATATCAGACAAATTTGAATCATCCGTAGTCGTTAGGTTTTTTACAACACGAGGTAGGTACGTATAACGTGTATAGGTAGTGTATTATCATACGTGTCGGTTGTTTTTTTTTTTTTTGGCACCCATAAATTATTGTTTCAACTCTTCGACCACTATACAGTCATTTCGCCTCGCAATATTTTAACGATAAATGTACCGTTGAACATTTATCGAACGAGGACGACGCCACGCCTTGAAATCGAATCRMGGTGTTAAATCATTTGAAATCCGAAACTTTTTTTTCATACATACGCTACAACCACCAACAAGATATCACAATAAACTTAACATACTACGCGGCTTAACGGGTTCAAAATCAAATAAATTTTACAGAAAACTAGGTAACGAAAACGTATAATATTGTGTAMATCATGTGGTATCCGCAGATGGCGTTTAAACAAACGAATGCGGAAAGTGTTTYAGCAAATATAATGCATATCATTAGAATAATATATAATGCGTCTATAGTGGTCAACAACGTTATTACAMCGGAGGTTGGACATAATATTTTAATATGATTATATTATTATGGTAAAACGTAAGAAATTTCGTGTTATGCTTAACCAGTTTAGCGGGTTCACAGAGTTATTTCATCGACGACAATGATTTCAATGGAAATGAATGAATCGACAAAACGATCGATACTCATATAATACACCCAAAGCTTTTAACGGTTTAACGGTACCTAAATAAGACATTATTAGTTACCTATATACCTTCAAATCATCTTCACGGAATTCCAACGTCTCAACTATTAGCTACACATAACTATGACGATAATTTGCGTTGCATAACCCACGTCCCATATTATGTATTTTGTGTATACTGTATACGTGTCATGCCCGTAAAAAATATTTTAATTTATTTTTTAATACAGTTTTATTCAAAATCTGCAATCAAATTAAAAATGTATAAATAATTGTATTGATATACAGCTCCAATGGCTTGAATTTAAAAGTATAGAAGTGGAAGTCATCTCATGGTCGACACACAAACAATTTAATTTAACTTTACATCGCAAAAGTTTTGAGAGCAATTAAAATATAGTAATTAAATCCGTGAACAATTTACAAACGACGTCATCAACAAACGTTATTAGCGAGCTGTACAAGACAGAAATGTATGATGTGCGTACAATATAATACAACATAGGTACAATCAATATTTAGACGGAGAAGTCTATGGCGATATACGAACCATCCCACCCACGAGTTAATATTAATTACGTTCTGACGAGCTTCGTTTCAAAACAGACGCGAATCGACTTGAATGTATCGCAAATCGTAATAATTAGGTCGAGCCGTCGAGGAACGTTAACGCAGCCAAAAAAAAAAAAAAATAAATAAATACAAAAAACCCAAAAATATGTTACACCGTTGGCATTAGACGGAAACACATTTCACGAAGATGTACTTATGTGTCCGTCGGCAGGTTGTGTCTGGTGAACGACCGACAATTTTGAGTACGTTTATAACTACCCAAAAAACGCGAATAAATTACGAAAATAAAAACACGAAAACGACGATCGAAGGTATAAGATAAAAACCTACTTATTGGTGTCCCGGCGGATTTTGACTTGGCTGTGACGCTGGGTCTCCGGGTGGCMGCGGACGGTGCCCGTCGGACTGGCTTTACTACGTATTTGATGTTCCGTCGGGCCGACTTTTTCCGTTTCACCCGGTTAGTGTTCCGGGCCGCGGCCACGGGTATCCGGTGATGGTCTTGGTGCTGGTAATGTTGATGCTGTTGGTGTCGGCGGTGGTACAGCTGCTGCAGCTGCTCTTGTTCGTCGTCTTCGGTGTCCGCGTCGTCCGTGGACTCTTGCCACCGTCCCCGGCTGCCCTTCGATATCGATTCGTAAAGTCTGTCCTGTTCGTCATCTCCGTCGTCGTAATCGTCAGTGTCCCCGCGGTAGTCGTCTGCGGGGTCACGTCGCTGCAGACGAGCGTCTTTGGGCACGCAATAGTCTCGGATCTCGACGACCGGCCGGGTCTTCGGGTGATGGTGATGGTGATGATGKTGCTGGGTGGGCCGCCTCTTTTCCGGAGCCACGAACATCATGGGGTCCAATTTGAGCTGTCGCAACGGCGACCGGGCGACCACTACCTGGTACARTTGATCTTGCGGCGTTGTCGCGGGCTGCAACACCGACGCCGGTTTAGCCGCAACSACTGCTGCGGGACGTCTWGGCGCCTTTTTGCGAAACAGTTGCTGCTTGGATGGCCGCGGCGGATCGGACAGTCCGGGCGCGGACAGGCTGAAGCCCGAGTCTTTGCCCGAGCACGTGGACGCAACCGACGAACGGGAAGCCGTCTTGTTGACGCCGTCCACGGCCACAGGGTACCGGTGGAACCGCCTGAACGGCACCGGACGGTCGTCCCGCTTGTCCTTGAGCGCGCTTTCCAGCGAATGATGGGCCCGCCGTTGCGGCTGTGCGTCGCCGTCGGCCGCCATCGCTGCACCCGTGGCCGGCCGAGCGGGTAGCTCCAGGCTCCGGGGAGCGGCCGGTGGTAGCATCGGTGCGTCCATCCATATCCGACCAAGGCTGATGGCCGAGTCGGTACGACTACTGTCGTCCAGCTCCTTGTGCACGTGGTAACGGTACCGTGCCGGCGGGGTAGGCGGCGGGGGAGGCGAACAAGACCGTTTCAAGTTGTTCAGGTCTTCTTCCGCGCGTATACATCGAATCCACTCGCCGTAATCGATGACCGGTGCGGTGACAGTGGTCACGGCGGTGGTGGTCGTGGATGTGGTGGTCGTGGATCCGATGGCCGGCGGCGGTGATGGCGGTGGCGGCGGTGGTGGTGGTGCGGGCGCGACCGCCTGTCGTCTTCGCTCCACAGGTGGTGGCGGTGGCGGTACATCATCTTGCCCGGGCGTCTCGGGCAGGGGACTTATCGGACGACGCGAAGCTGCCCGGGGACTGGCCTGGAGACGAGCAACGACCGGAGGACTAGTCGGACCGCTACTGTCCGACTTGCTGATGAGTCCGGAAGAATGCTGCTGGTTCTGATAGGGTTGCACAGAATCGTCGGCGTCTATCGGCGGAGGCTTTTTGGTGGGATTCCTGCCCTTTTGACCACCGCCACCCCGGCCGTCCAAGTAATTCCTGCGGATCGATATCCGTTTGAACGAGTCGCTTCGCTTGAACGGCGACTCGTTGCGGTCCTTGTTCTTCCGACGACCGCCGATCAGCCGCCGGAGGTTCTCGAACGTGATGGGTTTCATGCGGCCGCTTTTGCCAGCGACTCTGTCAACTGCTGCAGCGGTTGCGGTGGCCGCGCATCCGCCGTCATCGTTCGTCGTCGATTGCGCGCTAAATCGCTCACTCGCGGCCGAAACGACAGACACTCGACATACACTCGCGCACTAGACCGATGTATTGTGATGATATTGTGTACTACGATTTAGACAAAATCGATTTTAGGTTGAAAAAAAAACGAAGCAATACACACACTCACACACAGATAAAAATTAAAACACAGAGAAACAACTACGCACGCGCGACACACGCGAACAGCAAGACGCGAGTTCGATCGGATGACGGACGACGACTGCGCGTGTAGATAATATTATTATTGTATTACGCGGCAGCAGCCGAGCCGCATAAACCGCCGCCGTCGTCAACCGGTTTCGGGTACGGTCGTCGTCGTCGTCGCCGCCGCCTCAACACCACCGCTCTCTCGCGACCGTCCGTGTTTGTGTGTGCGTGTGTGTGGAAGGGGCAACCGGTTGCGRTGCAACACACACGCGCACGCACACGCTAGCACGAAGCGGACAAGTTGCCCCCAAGGTACTTGTACAAGGACGCAGCCGCCGCCGACTATCGTGCGCGAGTGTGTGTATAGAGCAGCAAAGAGATCAAAGCACTCGGGTCACTGGCATCCCGCCCGGGCACCGCGATGCTGCTCTCTGGACCTGCCGGACAGCCGACGGATACCACAGCCGCTGCCGCCACTACTGGTATATTATTATAACAAGCTTTGGTCACTTGCGTTTTCAATACGCACACGCACCCATCATAATATATTATTATATTGTTATTACGCGAGAGTGTGGGTGCATAGATATTGCGCCGCTGCCAGCGGAGTCAGCGGACATTCGTTACAATATTCAAATATTCATAATAAATAGGCASCATTACGGGCGCGGATATTTACCATAATATTTTCTATGCGGCCGCCGCCGCCGCTTCCTGTCCGTTCATTCGTTCAATGTAAAGGTACCGTAATATTATGCTCATTTTATTACGTCGCGACGTACTCAAATATGTGTAGAACGCCAGCCGTCAACCACTGCAGCCGCCGCTCGAATTTCCGTCGTATTTCCCATCTTCGGTTATGCAAACGAATCKTACGACCGTTTTATGTTTATTGAGCTTAACTGAGATTATTGAGTTCCGTCTTTTTCTGCACTACGCAATTTTCGTTGTCGAAACGACGTTATTTTTCTACGGTTTTTTCTTTGACGTGAATTAGGTTTTTTTTTTACCTCTTACGCCTTGTTATCGATGAGGATATATCAACGATTTAGAATTTCAACACTATTTAAATATAATAATATATAATAGTGTGGCATACGCATACGATTTTACGAAATAGGTGTAATTCATTACATTTACATAATATTGTGTTCTATAGACTAGATTATATTTTTCAAGAGAACAGGAAGTATGTAGAAACTAAATTGATGGCCAGAAAATATATGACTAGAAGGCTGGTAATATGCTATAGAATTATTGCCGAAGATCATGATGACGTCTGACCCACCACAGGCGTTCTTCTGGGAAACTGGTCCACAAATAATATTTAAATCTATTCGAAAACAGTTCGATTTTCCATYATAGGTTTTTGAACGTTGCGCAATAAATATTATGTGCATTTATGATAAATAACTGCATACTAAAAACCGATTATGCAATCGTTTGTTCTCGTGCAACGCATTTATTGATTTATAGTTAACGTGTAACTTTATAATATAGTTTAGATTTTTTCTAAACTTTTGCTGGACAAACAAWATATATAATAATATATGTAATATAAACATAAATATAGATCATAGTATCTATTACAAACCATATTAATACGACGTATAATATTAATTACACTTATTAAAAGTTTAGAGTATTAAAAATTTAATAAATGTTGTCAATTTTTATTGACATTTTGTTATTTTATCACCACACGTCTTACAACCATCTATACATTATTTACCTACGCTTCCATATATAGTTAAACACTCTAAACATAATTTTCATGGAATAATATACCGGAATACCTACAAAATATAATTTGATGATAATGTACTATTAAACGTCTTAATTTTTTGATAACACGTGATTTTGGCAAACTATCATAACACAAATTTGTCGGCACCCTGCAAGCTGCCTTACGTTTTTAAACAAGCCATATCGTCCATTATTTCTATTTCAGAAGAACACACCGAGTTGAAATATTGAATACAAATTGAAAAACGATTATTCATTTGAGTCAAACACATTTCAATAATAGTAATATACACGTGGCACAAAAATATTAATAACTCTCGTATATTATTAATGTATAATTTACTGTGCAATTAAAGAAATCTTACACATAATGTGTACGGCAGCGAAGTGTATATTGGAATTAATCACAAGTAAGATGTGTAAACGACGTTAATTTAAAAATTAATTGAATTTAATCACACCACGTGTACAACCTATCTTTGACTTTCTCTCTGTCTTTCACCATCTAGTGATATATAGGAACGTTATAGTKTACAACAAACATAATATATAATTTCAACTGTAAAAACACGTTCGGGCTGATAGATCATAATAAACGTTATAAACGACTTCCTTGTAGGCGGTGGGAGGGCGGGATCTGGGGAAGAAGTATTCAACGTTTTCGACAAAAAACGGAACACATCCCGTAACGTCTCTCCGGACTGACGATAATTTATCACGATAATATCGATGTCGATTCGTGTGCTACGAATGAATCGATAGTATAATAAATAATAATACAATCTGACGAGTAATAAAAAATAAGTGTATAGAACTCTTTCGGTGCGTGCGAACACTATTATATTTCTTCAGTACCTCATCAGTTATAAATACCGTTTAAGAGGACGACTTACCCGCATTCGATGTGTCCGTCTTACAAGGGCGTAACAATTTATAACAAATTTAGGCTCAGCTGCAAATATTTTTTATTTTTTTTTGTTAAGAAACTTGGTGAGAACCATTAGTTTTGGCAATTATAATAAGCTCAACAATTATATAACAATAGCAATTATGTAGCGACTATAAAATAAAATTATAGCCGAAAATAAAACAAAGATAGAGTATTGAATAGCATAACATACAATAAATAAAAACAATTAATTAAAAAATTAAACAATTTTACACAGCGTGGATCATGATAACAATATTTTCGAGTATGACCGTAAGACWGGCATGTATAGCACTGTGGAAGGCTTTTTGGTGGGTGTGGTTTTTCAACAATAATTTTTGAGTTGAGAAGAAACTCAAACTTGAATATATATATCYGAATTGTTGGTAGCTTTTTGGATATCAACAAAGAAAAGTGGCGAGGGCGTTTTGTCCGAAAATCGTTTAATGTTGTGTATGTTTATGTAAAAAACAATTATTTATTTGAGTCAAACACATTTCAATAATAGTAATAATAATACACGAGGCACGAGAATAGGCACGAGAATAATCATAACTCTCGTATATTATTAATGTATAATTTACTGTGCAATTAAAGATGTCTTACACACATGCAGCCGGTATGGCTTCCTCTTAACCAAGGCTGCTATAAGAGGGGGGGGTAGTCAGAAAGACCCACAGTACTGGGACCCGGACTCTCGAGGGGTTCAGCGTTCATGCAAATAATTACTTCACAATATACATATATTAGAATATTATTTTTTTATTATTATGTAATATAATACAATCTGTACAATTTAGGCACAATAAGCATATGCGAGCAAAGTAACAAAAAATATTAGAAAAATTAATTATTATTTTAAAGGGACCCGGATTAAGTTCTATACCGTGGTCAAAAATATAATGGGGGAGGGGGGCGTCCTCTAAACTATTGTAGTATAAATTATACAAAATAACACTTAACAACACAATCCCAAACATATTAAGTATTTACTGTAAAAATAAAAATAGCATTCGATATTTCTATTAAGGTGAGCGTTTCCTCGGGCTAACGTGTCGCTTCCGTCGCTGTGTGCCTACTTGCATGTGTGTGTGTCGCGAGAGATAACAACGTCGCGTCTTCCGGCTTGGTTTATTGTCGAGTGGATATTATAATATTCTAARCCGTCATAATAACATTATAACATTGCGCACGAGTAATAATATATTATTATATTACAACGCCCAATAATCATTCTTATTAGCTTATATATCACATATTGTGTACCGATTAGGATCGCGGGATTTACTCGATGGGAGAATGAGAAAAAAATAAAAAATAAAAAATGTAAAAAAACCAGTCATTATTCTCGTTGAATACAATCAGTTGGAGCTGATCTGTATTTATTTGCAATGCTTATTATTATTATTGTTACAAGTGCCGTAGAGCACATAATTATTATTATAATTATTGTATACATAGAGGAACACGAGTATACAATAATAATAATCACTAATTAGCAAACGGAAATTTTTGTAAAACTCGTATGGAACTTATAACTCGAGCCAGCACGCTGTTCGTTAAACGTATGTATACCAACGACCGACCAATAGTGCTGCAAAACGTTAAGTAGTATAATACATATTATAACCATACGAACTCGGAACTATTATAATTTACAATAATAGTGGTACGAGCGTGTACGGCGATACAATAATAATATCGCAGCACAATATAATATTATAGGTACGACTAGTGCACATGCAACAACGATATAACTCGTACTTATAACTACTATAGTACACGCCGATGGTAAAATATTCGACGTGCCTACACTCCGCGTGTGGGTTGGTTTTCAGGTATTTTCTATATGTCCGGCAGATCGGGGATAGGCGGAAAATAACGCGGGACAGAGTAAGCGCGTACGCGATAATAATATTATAATATTGATATTAAATTATTATTTATCTTAGGGTCTGCGCGTTATATAATGATAATAATATATTACGCACAGCATAAACACCCGTAGGTCCGATAGACGCAACTAATATACACTGCAGGATGATTTTTAAAGCACGCTCAACCCTGTATTTCCATTTAATAGTACATAATTTATTCTTTTTCTTTTCTTCACGATTTCTGATTTTTGGAATTTTTAAGTAGACTTAAAGACCATACATTGTTTTAAAATTTCTGATATTTTTTGTACTGCCTACTCAAAGAGTACCATGTGGCRATACCAACTCCTATTTTTCAAACAAGAACCCCACTTTTTTACTGAAAATTATTTAGCGGTTAATTTTTTGGAAAATGTAACTAAGATGTATCTAAATCAAAATACTAATGCGTAGTTTCTGAGTGATAAAATGTTTATAGGTACTAAGGACAATAATCCTTAAAATTGGTTTTATAAAAATAAAAACTATATGTCATG